ACACTGAAATGAAAATCAGTCTAGCATAGGGAAAATTGGGGAATTACACCGCGAAATGGTGAATTGCGCAGCGGAGTTATTGTGAATCGGCATAAATTGAGCCAGCATAAACCGAGGGCTACTTGTATTGCACTCACTTTTTACTCACTTATTCTGTATTTCAACTCACTTTTCTCACTTTTTCAAAGGGGAAATGGCACTCCCAGGCCTGCCATACACAAAGAAAATAATTTTTGGATTAGATATCTATACAAGAGTTAATTAGAAGTTGACAGTTTTCTGACAATATTAGGAGATTGGTCTGGCAATGTAAATGATAAAAGAACTGTCACTGTATTTAGTGAGTCAATTAGATCATCATATGTTGTAAAAAAAAATTTTTTTTTCTATTTATAAATGTGAGATCAGGGGCTCTGATATCCTATTCACTGATTCAGGATGGAAATATTTTATTTTTGTGAAAAAGATTCAGATCTTTTTAATGTGAAGATTCTTGACACTAGTTAAGAATTTAAACATGCATCTTAACTTGTGTAAAGATCAGATTTTTATACACCGAATGAAAGGGGGAGAGTTATGGCCTGGCAATGGAAATAGGCATTAACAAATTTAAATGGATTAAAATTATATTTATTTATACAAAAATATAAAGAATAGGTTATAATTCTATACATATCTTAAATGATTAAAATAACAAACGAATGTCTGATAAACTAAGGAAATGATGAAACTAATATATACATTTACTTAAATGATTCTAGATTCAAACTACTAATAACAAGTAATGACAAGAGAGCTTACAATAATTATTATTGTTAGCTCTTGGGATGTATTGTGAGAACCTTTTCTTGGAACAGGGGAGACTTTTCTTATCATTCTTTCATAACAGGATCAATGCACCAAAAATACAGTGAGAAGTGAATCAAAGGGCTAACTATAGAAGCATGGATAAAAGGTGACATCCACCTTTATAACAAATCAGTGGACCAATTGGGTTTGTCCACAATTCGTTTCTGTCCTTCCTAAACTTTCAGTTTAGAAGGAACTCCCCAACTTCCTCTGATTCATAGGAAGTTAAAGATGATGCATTCTGATAAACTTTTCTTCTTTTGCATTTAAAAATAATATATTTTTCAGCTAAATTAATTTTCTAAACATCTTAAACATTAAAATGTTTACTAATAAAATCCCNCAGTTTAGAAGGAACTCCCCAACTTCCTCTGATTCATAGGAAGTTAAAGATGATGCATTCTGATAAACTTTTCTTCTTTTGCATTTAAAAATAATATATTTTTCAGCTAAATTAATTTTCTAAACATCTTAAACATTAAAATGTTTACTAATAAAATCCCCGTTCTCACACAACAACATATATAATATATATTATATATAAATTAATATGCTGTATATAATAATTATGTATATATTTTTTATAATTTAAAAAATTTTATGTATAAAATCAATAAAGTTATTGATAAAACTAAATTGTTTTAAAGTAAATTAGAAATTTCTTTTTAAAATTATTGTTATTTTTATAGAGTCTAAATGCTGCCTTATCATATGAAAATAAAGATCCTAGAACATATATATCTATGGTTCCAACATCAGCTTTTACTGGAGAAGGCATGGGAAATTTAATGGCTCTAATCGTTGAATTATCTCAAACTATGATGGCAAAACGTTTAGCATTTTCTGAAGAACTTCAAGCTACTGTTTTAGAGGTTAGATTATTTTTAATAATTTATATCATTTTTTTATTTCTTTAAATTATTTGTATAAACTAATTCCTGAACTTAGTCATAACACTAAAAATTTCTGCAATTTTCATTATAAAATCACACATTGACTTTATAAGAAATAATTTGACACAAGATAAATCTGACACATTGGGAACATCTACATGATACACAAAAATATAGTTAACAATTTTATTATTATTTAATAAGATGATATTTTAAAAAGTTTAAACAATAACATAATTTTGGAAATATTTTTTTATATTTTATATTAAACTAGCTGCAAGGACCCGCTTCGCTGGGTTTTTATTTGTTCGTACATTTGTATGTAATATAGTTTTTTTTTTTTTTATATATATATATAAAAGACTGTTTTTCTAAGTAATCTAGAATCTAGCTGCAAGGACCCGCTTCGCTGGGCAAAAAGTAACGATAGTGAAGATTAAGATAATTACATTAT